ACAAACACACACACACACACACACACCTGAGGTCGACACACTGATAATAAACTCTGTCCACAGGATCAAATATTTTGAGTGAATTTTGAGTCAAATAATTCAAAGACTTTTTTAAAGCATTAAGAAAGAAAATCAAAATCAAAATACAAATTAAATTTAAAAAATCAAATAAAATATTTTATTAAATATATACGACTATAATCAAATTATTTGTGTAATTATGTAAAATTTCTGTCTTTGTCTCTTTTATTTTTGTTCTGTGTGTTTCTCACTTTTGTTTGGTTTGGTTCTTTGGTTCTGATTTTTCTCGTTGGACTTTTTGGTGCAGTTTTTTTCAGTTTCAGGTGTGACAGGTGTGACAGGTGTGACAGGTGTGTGGACAGGTGTGGACAGGTGTGGGCAGGTGTGGCAGGTGTGGCAGGTGTGGCAGGTGTGGCAGGTGTGGGCAGGTGGGACAGGTGGGACAGGTGTGGCAGGTGGGACAGGTGGGACAGGTGTGGACAGGTGTGGACAGGTGTGGGCAGGTGGGACAGGTGTGGGACAGGTGGGACAGGTGTGGACAGGTGTGACAGGTGTGGTGGACAGGTGTGGACAGGTGTGACAGGTGTGACAGGTGTGGCAGGTGTGACAGGTGTGTGGACAGGTGTGACAGGTGTGACAGGTGTGGACAGGTGTGGACAGGTGTGGCAGGTGTGGACAGGTGTGGCAGGTGTGGCAGGTGTGGGCAGGTGGGACAGGTGTGGCAGGTGGGACAGGTGTGTGCAGGTGGGACAGGTGTGGCAGGTGTGGCAGGTGGGACAGGTGGGACAGGTGTGACAGACAGGTGTGGACAGGTGGGACAGGTGTGGACAGGTGGGACAGGTGGGACAGGTGTGGACAGGTGTGGCAGGTGGGACAGGTGTGGACAGGTGTGGCAGGTGGGACAGGTGTGGACAGGTGTGGCAGGTGGGACAGGTGTGGACAGGTGTGGACAGGTGGGACAGGTGTGGGACAGGTGTGGCAGGTGGGACAGGTGTGGACAGGTGTGGCAGGTGGGCAGGTGGGACAGGTGCAGGTGTGTGCAGGTGTGGTGGGACAGGTGGGGGCAGGTGGGACAGGTGGGCAGGCAGGTGTGGCAGGTGGGCAGCAGGTGTGTGGGACAGGTGTGACAGGTGTGGCAGGTCAGGTGTGGCAGGTGGGACAGGTGGACAGGTGTGTGGGACAGGTGTGGCAGGTGTGGCAGGTGTGACAGGTGTGGCAGGTGTGGACAGGTGGGACAGGTGGGACAGGTGTGGCAGGTGTGGACAGGTGTGACAGGTGTGTGTGACAGGTGTGGCAGGTGCACAGGTGTGACAGGTGTGACAGGTGTGACAGGTGTGGCAGGTGTGACAGGTGTGACAGGTGTGACAGGTGTGGCAGGTGGGACAGGTGGCAAAACAGGTTAAGCAGGAAACATCCACAACAGCTTCAGGAGCTCCAGACTCAGCTGTCCGTCAAACTGAAATGAACCAATGAGAATGCACCATGTAAACTCCGCCCACCTGTCACACCTGTCACACCTGTCACACCTGTCACACCTGTCACACCTGGGCCAAAACTGAACCAAAAAGTCCAACGAGAAGAATTAGAACCAAAGAACCAAACCAAACAAAACTGAGAAAAACACAGGGCAAAAATTATTTTTTACACAGTTACACAAACTACTTTTTTTATTTGATTTTTTAAAATTTATTATAAATTTTTTGCTTGATGTTTTAAAAAAGAAAATTGATTCCAGACAAATACATGTTTGTAACGAACATGTGAGAAAAGCAAGAACACAAATGTACAGTTTAGTCCTGGTCCAGTCCTGGTCCAGTCCTGGTTCAGTCCTGGTCTAGTCCTGGTCCAATCCTGGTTCGGTCCTGGTCCGGTCCTGGTCCGGTTCCGTACCGTCTATGGCTTTTGGCTCCTTGACTTTTGGCTCTTTCACTTTTGGCTCTTTGGGTTTCTTCGGTTCCTTCGGCGCTTCGACCACCACAGGTTCTTCCGCCGGGACCGGCTCTGGGACCGGCTCTGGGACCGGCTCTGGGACCGGCTCTGGTTCTGGTAACACGGGCTCTGGTTCTGGGACGGGTTCTGGGACGGGTTCTGGGGCGGCCTCCACCACAGGCTCGGGCTCTGGTTCTGGTACCACGGGCTCCGGGACCACGGGTTCTGGTACGGGCTCGGGTTCTTTCACTGGTTCTGGTTCTGGTTCTGGTACCACGGGCTCCGGTTCGGGTGCAGGTTCTGGGACAGGTTCTACCACAGGCTCTACCACGGGCTCTGGCTCTTTCACTGGTTCTGGTTCTTTCACTGGTTCTGGTTCTTTCACTGGTTCTGGTACTGGTTCTGGTTCTTTCACAGGTTCTGGTGCTGGTTCTGGGGCGGGTTCTGGTTCTGCGACGACAACTGGGGCAGGGGTCGGTTCTGGGATCACGGGCTCCGGGACCACGGGTTCTGGTTCTGGGACTTTCACTGGTTCTGGGACCGGTTCAGGCTGAAACAAGAAAAAGTCCAAAATTACAAAAGCTCCACAAACATCAGAACATCTGGACTCACCGGGTCAAACCTGCGCCTGACCCGGACCTGCGCCTGACCCGGACCTGCGCCTGACCCGGACCTGCGCCTGACCCGGACCTGCGCCTGACCCGGACCTGCGCCTGACCCGGACCTGCACCTGACCCGGACCTGCACCTGACCCAAACCTGCGCCTGACCCGAACTGTGTATCATTCCTTTTTCAAAATAAAACCAAAAAACAACTATTTTCTTCATTTGTCTCCAAAACCAAAATGAAAACCAGGACCAGGACTGAAAATGGTTCAGTCCTGGTCTGGCCCGGGTCTGGTCCTGGATCTGGTTCAGTCCGTTGTCAGTTTTTTTCCATTTTTCATTTAAACACAAAATCGAAAACTGAAAAAATGAATCTTTATCTTTTTTTTCATTTTGGTTTTGGAGACAAATAATGAAGAAAATAGTTGTGTAGGAGACAGTTGTTTTTTTGTTTTCTTATTTTTGGTTTTATTCTGAAAAATGAATGAATAAATGACACATGGATCTGACCCAAACCTGCATTTGACCCGTAAAACGACACTTCAGTTCCTCTTTTACTGCAGGAAAAATCCATTTGAATTCAGACTCGTCAGACTCGTCAGGTGAGACTCAAACCCACAAACTCACTCAGTGATTCATTAATTAATGATTGTTTCTGACAAACCAGAGTTGATCAGAAACAATCATTAATTAATTAATCACTGTATTTTTATAGCACCTGTCAAGACTCCCAAAGCTCTTTACAGATCATTATTCATTCATTAACACTCAGTGGTGTAAACTATTACAGTAGCCACAGCTGCCCTGGGGCAGACTGACAGACGTGGAACAGAGTTCATTCAAAAGAAAGAACCTCTGCACAGAACCATCACCGCCCTTATTATTACTGTACATATACACATACATATATATATATATATATATATATATATATATATATATATATATATATATATATATATATATATATATATATGTATATATATATATATATAGTTATAGATGTTCTTCTTCTTCTTCTTCTTCGTCGTCGTGTGTGAACAGATGTGATTCACTTCAGCCTAAACTCGTCCACTCACAGTTTTATGTGGAATGATTCTAACAATTTAAGAACATGATTAAACTACTACTATTACTACTACTACTACTACTACTACTACTACTACTACTACTACTACTACTACTACTACTACTACTACTACTACTACTACTACTACTACTACTACTACTACTACTACTACTACTTCTACTACTGCTACATACAAAGGTTTAGTCCTGGTTCAGTCCTGGTTTAGTCCTGGTCTAGTCCTGGTCTAGTCCTGATTTAGTCCTGGTTTAGTCCTGGTTCAGTCCTGGTTTAGTCCTGATTTAGTCCTGGTTTAGTCCTGGTTCAGTCCTGGTTTAGTCCTGATTTAGTCCTGGTTTAGTCCTGGTTCAGTCCTGGTTTAGTCCTGAGTTTAGTCCTGGTTTAGTCCTGGTTCAGTCCTGGTTTAGTCCTGGTTTAGTCCTGGTTTAGTCCTGGTTCAGTCCTGGTTTAGTCCTGGTTCAGTCCTGGTTTAGTCCTGGTTTAGTCCTGGTTCAGTCCTGGTTTAGTCCTGGTTCAGTCCTGGTTTAGTCCTGGTTCAGTCCTGGTTTAGTCCTGGTTTAGTCCTGGTTTAGTCCTGGTTTAGTCCTGGTTCAGTCCTGGTTTAGTCCTGGTTCAGTCCTGGTTTAGTCCTGGTTTAGTCCTGGTTCAGTCCTGGTTTAGTCCTGGTTTAGTCCTGGTTTAGTCCTGGTTCAGTCCTGGTTCAGTCCTGGTTTAGTCCTGGTTTAGTCCTGGTTTAGTTCCATATTTGGTGTTGCTGTGAGTCGTTGACAAAGAATGAGCAGGAAATATTTCAGACTCACAGTAACAGAGTCTGATTCAACAAACGAGGGAAGGAAGGAGGGAAGGAGAGGAGGAGGGAAGGAAGGAGGGAAGGAGAGGAGGAGGAGAGAGGAGAGGAGGAGGGAAGGAGAGGAGGAGGGAAGGAAGGAGGGAAGGAAAGGAGGAGGAGAGAGGAGAGGAGGAGGGAAGGAGAGGAGGAGGGAAGGAGAGGAGGAGGGAAGGAGAGGAGGAGGAGAGGAGAGGAGGAGGGAACAAGGAGAGAGGAAAGAAGAGAAGGAGTGAACAAGCAGAGCAGAGGAGGGAAGGAGAGAAGAGAAGGAGTGAAGGACACAAGGAGACAGGAGAGGAGAGAGAGAAGTTCTGAAACTCTATATAGGAGGTAGGGCTTAGGAAGCAGGACTCAGGAGGTAGGACACATGGGAGGAGACAGAGGGAGCAGACACACACACACACACACACACACACACACACACACACAACACACACAACACACACACACACACACACACACAACACACACACACACACACACACACACACAGACACACACACACAACACACACACACACACAGACACACACACACACAGACACACACACACACACACACACACACACACACGACACACACACACACACACACACACACACACACACACACACAGAGCTTCACACTGTCCCTGGACTTTAACCTGAGCTGAGACAGGTGAGACAGGTGTGACAGGTGAGACAGGTGAGACAGTGACAGGTGTGACAGGTGAGACAGGTGAGACAGGTGAGACAGGTGAGACAGGTGAGACAGGTGTGACAGGTGAGACAGGTGAGACAGGTGAGACAGGTGAGACAGGTGAGACAGGTGAGACAGGTGAGTGTCCACAAAACTTTGACACTTTTGTTTCTGTTTTACACAAACTAAACATTAAATCACATGACTCATTTACATAAACTAATGTGTGTGAAAAAAACTGTTGTTTCTTGTGTCTGATGTGGTTCAGTTTGTGTTGGACTAAAGACACAGAGACTCAGTGGAATATGAGTGTTCTCCCTGTGACAGAGGGGTGTTCTCTCTGTGTGACAGAGGGGTGTTCTCTCTCTGTGACAGAGGGGTGTTCTCTCTGTGACAGAGGGGTGTTCTCCCTGTGACAGAGGGGTGTTCTCTCTGTGTGACAGAGGGGTGTTCTCTCTGTGACAGAGGGGTGTTCTCTCTGTGACAGAGGGGTGTTCTCTCTGTGTCAGAGGGGTGTTCTCTCTGTGTCAGAGGGGTGTTCTCTCTGTGTCAGAGGGGTGTTCTCTCTGTGTGTCAGAGGGGTGTTCTCTCTGTGTCAGAGGGGTGTTCTCTCTGTGTCTCTCTGTGTCAGAGGGGGTGTTCTCTCTGTGACAGAGGGGTGTTCTCTCTGTGACAGAGGGGTGTTCTCTCTGTGTCAGAGGGGTGTTCTCTCTGTCAGAGGGGTGTTCTCTCTGTGTCAGAGGGGTGTTCTCTCTGTGTGACAGAGGGTGTGTTCTCTCTGTGACAGAGGGGTGTTCTCTCTGTGACAGAGGGTGTTCTCTCTGTGAGAGGGGTTTCTCTGTGTCAGGGGGTGTTCTCTCTGTGTCAGAGGGGTGTTCTCTGTGTCAGAGGGGTGTTCTCTCTGTGTCAGAGGGGTGTTCTCTCTGTGTCAGAGGGGTGTTCTCTCTGTGTCAGAGGGGTGTTTCTCTCTGTGTGTCAGAGGGGTGTTCTCTCTGTGTCAGAGGGTGTTCTCTCTGTGTCAGAGGGGTGTTCTCTCTGTGACAGAGGGTGTTTCTCTGTGACAGAGGGGTGTTCTCTCTGTGACAGAGGGGTGTTCTCTCTGTGTGACAGAGGGGTGTTCTCTCTGTGTGACAGAGGGGTGTTCTCTCTGTGACAGAGGGGTGTTCTCTCTGTGAGAGGGGTGTTCTCTCTGTGTGACAGAGGGGTGTTCTCTCTGTGACAGAGGGGTGTTCTCTCTGTGTCAGAGGGGTGTTCTCTCTGTGTCAGAGGGGTGTTCTCTCTGTGTGACAGAGGGGTGTTCTCTCTCTGTGACAGAGGGGTGTTCTCTCTGTGACAGAGGGGTGTTCTCTCTGTGTCAGAGGGGTGTTCTCTCTGTGTCAGAGGGGTGTTCTCTCTGTGACAGAGGGGTGTTCTCTCTGTGACAGAGGGGTGTTCTCTCTGTGACAGAGGGGTGTTCTCTCTGTGACAGAGGGGTGTTCTCTCTGTGTGTCAGAGGGGTGTTCTCTCTGTGACAGAGGGGTGTTCTCTCTGTGTGACAGAGGGTGTTTCTCTGTGACAGAGGGGTGTTCTCTCTGTGTCAGAGGGGTGTTCTCTCTGTGACAGAGGGTGTTCTCTCTGTGTGAGGGGTGTTCTCTCTGTGACAGAGGGGTGTTCTCTCTGTGTCAGAGGGTGTCTCTCTGTGACAGAGGGTGTTCTCTCTGTGTCAGAGGGGTGTTCTCTCTGTGTCAGAGGGGTGTTCTCTCTGTGAGAGGGGTGTTCTCTCTGTGTCTGTGACAGAGGGGTGTTCTCTCTGTGTGAGGGTGTTCTCTCACAGAGGGGTGTTCTCTCTGTGTCAGAGGGGTGTTCTCTCTGTGTCAGAGGGGTGTTCTCTCTGTGTCAGAGGGGTGTTCTCTCTGTGTGACAGAGGGGTGTTCTCTCTGTGACAGAGGGGTGTTCTCTCTGTGTGACAGAGGGGTGTTCTCTCTGTGTGTCAGAGGGGTGTTCTCTCTGTGTCAGAGGGGTGTTCTCTCTGTGTCAGAGGGGTGTTCTCTCTGTGTCAGAGGGGTGTTCTCTCTGTGTCAGAGGGGTGTTCTCTCTGTGTGACAGAGGGGTGTTCTCTCTGTGTCAGAGGGGTGTTCTCTCTGTGTCAGAGGGGTGTTCTCTCTGTGTCAGAGGGGTGTTCTCTCTGTGACAGAGGGGTGTTCTCTCTGTGTGACAGAGGGGTGTTCTCTCTGTGTGACAGAGGGGTGTTCTCTCTGTGACAGAGGGTGTTCTCTCTGTGTGACAGAGGGGTGTTCTCTCTCTGTGACAGAGGGGTGTTCTCTCTGTGTGACAGAGGGGTGTTCTCTTTTCTCTCTGTGTGACAGAGGGGTG